GAATAATGATTATCGCAGTAGCTCTTTTAGATGACAGTTAAAAGCAGTTGAGAGGCACCTCCAACCTAACCAAACCCTTTTTTCCCGTAAGACTGCCTGCCCTTAAAAAAACCCACATTTGTCAGCCTGTCCTTGGTTAGATTTTGTGATGATGAATATTCATTCAGGAAGTATGCAGACAACTCATTCCTCTATGTAACACTGCCACTTGTTTTGTGTTGGAAAACAGTAGAGTTATTCCCCTAATAAGGGAGAACTTTACCAAGACCAGGAAGCACACTGTTGGCAGGATGCTAAACAAAACAAGCTCACCCAGATCACAAAACACCAGAGAACACCACTTTAGACAAGGAGCTGACTCAGTGATGACTCATACTAAACACATTTTCATACACTCTAAAAAATAAAAGGTTCCCGGAGGATCCCTTTTGGGGGTTTTTGAAGTTTAAATGTGGGGGAACCCCATAGTTCTTTGAAGAACCCTTTAAAGGGTTTTTCAAATAACCCTTTTAATGGATCCTCAAAGAACCTTTTGAAAACCTTTTGGGGTTTATTTTGAAAATACCCCCCCCCCCTCCCCTGTATATATTTTTAGTGACATATACAGTGGGGGAAAAAAGTATTTAGTCAGCCACCAATTGTGCAAGTTCTCCCACTTTAAAAAAATGAGAGAGGCCTGTAATTTTATCATAGGTACACGTCAACTATGACAGACAACTGAGATTTTTTTTTCCCGAAAATCACATTGTAGGATTTTGTAATGAATTTTTTTGCAAATTATGGTGGAAAATAAGTATTTGGTCAATAACAAAAGTTTTCAATACTTTGTTTATACCCTTTGTTGGCAATGAAACAGGTCAAACGTTTTCTGTAAGTCTTCAAAAGGTTTTCACACACTGTTGTGGTATTTTGGGCCCCATTCCTCCATGCAGATCTCCTCTAGAGCAGTGAGTTTGGGGCTGTCGCTGGGCAACAGGGGACTTTCCACTCCCTCCAAAGATTTCTATGGGTTGAGATCTGGAGACGGCTGGGCCCACTCCAGGCCCCTTGAAATGTTTCTTACGAGCCACTCCTTCGTTGCCGGGCGGTGTGTTGGGATCATTGTCATGCTGAAAGACCCGCCACGTTTCATCTTAAATGCCCTTGCTGATGGAAGGAGGTTTTCACTCAAAATCTCACGATACATGGCCCATCATTCTTTCCTTTACACGGATCAGTCGTCCTGGTCCCTTTGCAGAAAAACAGCCCCAAAGCATGTTTTTTCCACCCCCATGCTTCACAAGTAGATATGGGGTTCTTTGGATGCAACTCAGCATTCTTTTTCCTCCAAACACGACGAGTTGAGTTTTTACCAAAAAGTTCTATTTTGGTTTCATCTGACCATATGACATTCTCCCAATCCTCTTTTGGGATATCCAAATGCACTCTAGCAAACTTCAGAGGGCCTGGACATGTACTGGCTTAAGCAGGGGGACAGTCTGGCATGCAGGATTTGAGTCCCTGGCGGCGTAGTGTGTTACTGATGGTAGGCTTTGTTACTTTGGTCCCAGCTCTCTGCAGGGCATTCACTAGGTCCCCCGTGTGGTTCTGGGATTTTTGCTCACCGTTCTTGTGATCATTTTGACCCCATGGGTTGAGATCTTGCAGGGAGCCCCAGATCGAGGGAGATTTTCAGTGGTCTTGTATGTCTTCCATTTTCCTAATAATTGCTCCCACAGTTGATTTCTTCAAACCAAGCTGCTACCTATTGTAGATTCAGTCTTCCCAGCCGGTGCAGGTCTACAATTTTGTTTTGGGTGTCCTTTGACAGCTCTTTGGTCGGGCCATAGTGGAGCTTGGAGTTTGACTGTTTGAGGTTGTGGACAGGTGTCTTTTATACTGAAAACAAGTTCAAAACAGGTGCCATTAATACAGGTAACGAGTGGAGGACAGAGGAGCTCTTAAAGAAGAAGTTAAGGTCTGGTGAGAGCCAGAATCTTGCTTTTTTGTAGGTGACCAATACTTATTTTCCACCAAAATTTGCAAATAATTCATTAAAAACCCTACAATGTGATTTCTGGAGAAAAAAAAAAATTCTCTAAATTTTTGTCGTATAGTTGAGTGTCCCTATGATGAAATTACAGGCCTCTCCCCTCTTTTAAGTGGGAGAACTTGCAAAATTTGGTGGCTAAATTAAATACTTTTTCCCCCACTGTATATGCATAACAATAACAAAAATAAACAATATTTTAGTTCTCAGTGTTATTATGATTTAGTGGCAAAAACAGAATAAAAAATCCAAAGTGAGGTAAACTCCCAGCAGAGCCCCCAAATCCAATGGGTTATCCCCTGGCGGTTGAGTTCTCCGTATCCATAGCGAATATTTTGCAGTGCATGGGGGATCGAACAGGTTTCCTGTATATTCATCAGAGGTGTAGGGAGGGTGAAGTATGTGAATCCCAAAAAATGTATTATACAGATGATTAACAAAAAATGCACACTACAGTTTTTCATACCTTGGTTTTTGGGTGAATGTGAATGAAAAAAACTGTTTGATAATGGTTATCATACACATACCTTGTCCATAATGTAGAGACCTATGATATTTTCATTGAAGAGGTAAAGGGGGGAGGATGGTACATGTGATCTGTATAAATACCAATACCCAAATTGACATACCTTGTATGCCTCCTCACAGACACAAAAGTGAGCAGTTCAGTCATTGCACCCAATACAGATAGCCTTCAACATATTCTTATAGAATACATATTCTTATTTCTTTGTGATTGATACCCATTCATTTGTGAAACAAATATAAAAAAGATATATGGTTCAGCATAAAAAATATCAATTTAGATCGTACAAGGGACAAATATTACATTTTCAGTTAAGGCCTGCACCTGCTACCCTTTTCAAATTCAAATCCAAATGTTTCAGTTGGGCAGTTAGGTTCCCACAAGAACCCCCCCCAAAACTAAGGAGGTTCCTCGATGAACCCCCCTCCTATGGGGGTTTGGAAAAACCCTTTGGGGCAATTGTCAGTGCCAATAACCTAAGGTTCTTCAAAAAAACTTTGAGGAACTTAGAAGAATCCTTGTTGAACCCCTAATTTTTAGAGTGTATCACAGATACAGATGAGAGGTGTGGTCAGCATTCCATGCTCCAGTCCTCAGGGGCTGCAGTATCTATTTTATATTTTTACTTCTAATATGCATCAAATTTCAGAACACAATAGCCACCACCCCACTAACAGCTGTTTGATGCGCGAAAGGGTTTTGTCCCCCTCTCCCCCCCGTAGCAAGGGGATGACGGCTGATGCCAGGGGGCTGAAGGGAGAGCTTTTACTGCCTGCCCGCCATGACAAAATGGGCGTTCCCATATGTGGCGGGTGCAGGGGGACCCATCGAGGGCCGCGTGGGGCAATGCCATGGGAAGCAGTGGCACGTCGAGGTATGATGAATCCCTTATTCAATATGGACCTGTTCAGGAGGTTGCAATGTTATGGAACATTCAGATAAAAAGTATTGTATATGATTATGGTATTTTGTAGCCAGTGATTATTACAATATTATTATTATTTATTATTACATTATGATCTTAGGTATGTACGCTTTGTCTGTCTGTCGCTGAACAACTATTATTTCCTATTATACAACAGGTGGTTTGGAATTCCCCATTGTTAGAACATCACAGTAGAAATGTATTCAAGGGAGTTGTATGTGGGATGATTTTATATAGCCTCCCCGGTTCTGTTTCTACCCTGCCCTCATATCATCTCTGTGGCCATGTTTGGACTATCCAGAATGGAGGACATCCTTCTTCTTCTTTCCCTCTACATCCTCTGTTCATATCTATGCTGCCTTCTTTTCCTCTCTACCCCCACCCCCCCCGTAACACCTGTATGTGCTCTGTGTGAGCGTCCGTTCAGAGCACCCATATTACGAGTGTGGGGACCCACGCTACTGTGAAAATCACTTTAACATGGTGTGGGTGTTAGGGGACTGATGGAGACCCTGCCTGGCTGCATGCTGTCCTGCGCTCTGTCAGGGCTTGTGCTGCATTCTGCCCCCTGGTGGAACTCCCCCACAACCCCCAAGCCAACTTCCCAACCCCTTTTGTTCCACCCCCAACAAACCCCCACCCATGGTTACTCACCCTCACAGAAAACAAGGATCCTCCTGTTGCTGTCTGTATGTCTGTCTGTAGGGGTGAGTGCTCACAGGGGGCCGCTCCTGCCATGCTGCTTGTCTCTGAACCCACTAATCTAAGCGGGCACTGGGACTGGTCTGGTCTGACTCTTCCTAGGTCGGAAATCAAACTAGACCGATATGGATTAAACGACCTGTGCTGGTCTGAGTTTTGTACTAACCGTTGGGTGGGGGCCAGGTGTCGTGTGTTGCAGCATTTTGTGTGTGCTAAGTGTGAGAAGCCTTCCTGGGCCACGCACTACGAACGCCAAAGACTGGCTAATGTGAGACTCACACAACCAGGTACCGTAGGACCAGAGGCTGCACACAGCGCCCAAGGGAAGAGAAGTCCACACAAGCAATCTCTAAGTAACTCAATCCAATCCAGGCACTGTATTTTATTTATCTTAAGCAAGCATTTGCTGTATATTAATGTGAATGTGACTGGAGGTCACATTCACATTATATACAGCAAGATGCTTGCTTAAAGATAAATTAAAATACAGTGCTGGATTTTGGATTGAGTTACTAAGTATAGATGTGATTGTTGTGACTCTCTTCCCTTGGGTGTGTGTCAGCTGCCTGGTCCTACGTTACTGGTGTAGTGAGTCATCAAAGTAGGCCAGTCTTGCGTTGTAGTGGCGATGGCCCAGGGAAGGGCTTCACACTTAGCACACACAAAATGCTGCAAAACTAACACACAACATGGACCCACCACAACAGGTTGTACAAAAAGACCAGCACAGGTCAGTTTAAATCCATATCGGTCTAGTTATTTCCGACCTATTAAGAGTCTCAGACCAGACCAGGTCCAGTCCCGTGAGATTAGTGGTTTCAGAGGACAGCCAGCAGGGCAGGGAGCGGCCCCTGTGGAAGCATCACCCTACGACAAGACAGACAGACAGAAACAGGAGGAGCCTGGTTTGTCTGTGAGGGGTGAGTACCAGGGAGGTCCAACCAGGGGGCAGAATGCAGCACAGGACCAGACAGAGCGCAGGACAGATGCAGCCAGGAAGGGTCTCCCCATCAGTCACCCTAACGAACCCCACACCATGTTTAAAGTGATTTTCACAGTAGCGTGGTCCCACACTCGTAATATGGGTGGCTCGAACGGACGCTCACACAGAGCACACATACATGGTGTGCGGGGGGGGGGGGGGGTAGAGAGGAAGAAGGCAGCATAGATATTGAACAGAGGATGTATAAGAGGGAAAAAGAAAGAAGAGGATGTCCTCCATCTAGATAGTCAACATGGCCACAGAGATGATATGAGGGCAGGGTGAAACAGAACAGGAGGTAGTATAAAATAATCCAATACAAACTCCTTGAAACATTTTAATGTGATGTTAACAATGGGGAATTCCAAAACCACCTGTTTATAATAGGAAATAATAGTGTTCCAGCGACAGACAGACAAGCAGCAGTACATACCTAAGATCATAATGTTAATATAATAATAATAAAATATTGTAATAATACTGGCTACAAAATACTAATCATATACAATACATTTTTATCTGAATGTCCCATCACATTGCAACCTTGAAACAGGTTCCATATTGAATAAGGGGGATGTCATCATACCTCGAGTGCCACGGCTTGCCCATGGCATGACCACGCGGGCCCGCGATGGGTCTGTCGCTGCGGGCCACATATGGAAGCCCATCTGTCATGGCAGGGCAGCAGTACAGGCTCTCCTTTAGCTCCCTGGCAGCAGCCGTCAGCTCCTTGGCTACGGGGGAGGAGAGGAGGGACAAACCTGTACGCGACATACAACCAGAGGTTAGTGGGGGGTGGTATGTGTTCTGAGTTAAGATGCATATTAGAAGTAGAAATATTAAAGTAGATACTGCAGCCCATGAGGGATGGAAGCAGTGGAATGCTGGACCACACCTCTATCTGTATCTGTGATACACTCTAAAAATTAGGGGTTCAACAAGGATTCTTCTTAAGTTCCTCCAAAGTTCTTTGAAGACCTTAGGTTATTGGCAGACAATGCCCCCAAAAGGTTCTTCCAAAACCCCAGAGGAGGTGGGTTCATCGAGAACCTCCTTAGTGGTGGGGGTCGTGTGGGACACCTAACTGCCAACTGAAACATTTGGATTTGATTTGAAAGGATAGGCAGGGCAGGCACTTAACTGAAAAATGTAAATATTTGTCCTTTTACGATTCTAAATTGATATGTTTTATGTGATACCAATATTCTTTTCAATTTGTGCACAAATGAATGGATACAATAACCCCCCCCCCCCCCCCCAAAGAAGTAATAATATGTATTATATAAGAAAATATGTTTGAAGGCTTATCTGTATGGGGTGCAGATGAATGAAAACTGCTCACTTTGGGGTCTGTGAGGAGGCATACAAAGGTATGTCAAATTGTATTGGTATGTTATCGGATCACATGTACCATCCTCCTCCCTTACCTCTTCAATGAAAATATCATAGGTCTCTACTTATGGACAAGGTATGTGTATGATAACCATTATCAAAAAGTTTTGTTCATTTCCACAAATTCACCAAAAAACCAAGGTATGAATACTGTTAGTGTGCAGTTTGTTAATCATCTGTAGAATACATTTTTTGGGGTTCACATACTTCACCCCCTCCCTACACCTTCTGATGGAAGAAACAGGAAAACCTGTTCGATCCATTGCACTGCAAAAATCATTCTGGCTACAGGCTATGGATACGGAGAACATTCAACCACGCCAGAGTATATACCCCATTGGGACTTGGGGCTCTGATGGGAGGTTCCCTCATCTTTGCGATTTTTATTCTGCTTGCCACTAAAATCTAAGAAACACTGAGAACTAAAATATTGTGTGTTTATGTTGTTATTGTTATGATATACAGTGGGGGGAAAAGGGAAAAAAGTATTTTAATTTCAAGCCACCAAGTGTGCAAGTTCTCCCACTTAAAAAGATGAAGCGAGGCCGTAATTTTCATCATAGGTACACGTCAAACTATGGGACAGGACAATTTGAGAGAATTATTTTTTTTGTTCCTCCAGAAGAAAATCACATTGTAGGATTTTAAATGAATTTATTTGTCAAATTATGGTGGAAATAAGTATTTGGTCACCTACAAACAAGGCAAGATTCGGGCTCTCCACAGACCTGTAATTCTTTCTTTAAGAGGCTCTCTGTCCTCACTCGGACCTGTATTAATGGCACCTGTTTGAACGGTTATCAGTATAAAAGAAACATGTCAACAACCTCAAACAGTCACACTCCAAGCTCACTATGCCAAGACCAAAGAGCTGTCAAAGGGACACCAGAAACAAAATTGAGACCTGCACCAGGCTGGACGATGGAATCTCCAATAGGTAGCAGCTTGGTTTGAAGAAATACAAAGGTCAGGGAGCAATTATTAGGAAATGGAAAAGACATACAAGACCACTGATAATCTCCCTCGATCTGGGGGCTCCCTGCAAGATCTCAAAACAATGGGATCAAAATGATCACAAGAACGGTGAGCAAAAATCCCAGAACCACACGGCGGGCCTAGTGAATGACCTGCAGAGGCTGGGACCAAAGTACAAAAGCCTTACCATCAGTAACACAACTACGCAGCCAGGGACTCAAATCCTGCAGTGGCCCAGACGTGGTAACAATGCTTAAGCCAGTACATGTCCAGGCCCGTTCGGAAGTTTGCTTAGAGTTGCATTTGCGATGATCCAGAAGAGGATTGGGAGAAGAGAATGCTATGGTCAGATGAAACCAAAATAGAACTTTTGGTAAAAACTCAACTCGTAGTGTTTTTGGAGGACAAAGAATGCTGAGTTGCATCCAAAGAACACCAATCTACTGTGAAGCAGGGGGTGGAAACAACATGCCTTTGGGGGCTGTTTTTCTGCAAAGGGACCAGGACGAGCGATCAGTGTAAAGGAAAAGGAATGAATGGGGCCAGGTATCGTGAGATGTTGAGTGAAAACCTCCTTCATCAGCAAGGGCAAGGGCATTGAAGAGATGAAACGTTGGATGGGTTCTTTAGCATTACAATGATCAAACACCACCGCCCCGGGCAAAGAAGGGTGGTTCGTAGAAAGGCATTCAAGGTCCTGGAGTGGCCTAGCAGGTATCCAGATCTCAAACCCCATAGAAATCTTGGGAGGGAAGTGGAAAGTCCCGTTGTTGCCCAGCGGACAAGCCCCAAAAAACATCAATGCTTCTAGAGGAGATCTGCATGGAGGAATGGGCCAAAATACAGCAACAGTGTGTGCAAAACATGTGAGACTTTACAGAAAACGTTTGAACGGTGTCATTGCCAACAAAGGGTATAAACAAAGTATTGAGACAGAAACTTTGGTTCATTGACCAAAATACTTATTTTCCACCATATTTGCAATAAATTCATTACAAAATCCTACAATTGATTTTCTGGAAACAAAAATTCAGTTTGTTGTCATAGTTGACGTGTTGTACCTAGATGAAAATTACCGGCCTCTCTCATCTTTTTAAGTGGGAGAACTTTGCCACCAATTGGTGGCTGACTAATACTTTTTTACCCACTGTATATGTCCCCCTCATAATAGAATAACAGGGGAGGGGGGAGGGGGGTAGTTCAAAATGAACCCCAAAAGGTTCTTCAAAAGGTTCTTTGAGGATCCATTAAAAGGGGTTATTTGAAAAACCATTTTAAAGGGTTCTTCAAAGAAATTATTAGGGTCCCCAACAGTTTCACTCAAATAACCCCTAAAGGATCCTACAGGAACCTTTATTTTTTAGAGTGTATGAAAATGTGTTAGTATGAGTCATCACTGCGTCAGCTCCTGTCGAAAGTGGTTGTTCTCTGGTGTGTGTGTGATGCTGGGTGAGGCTTTTGTTTTGTTTGCATCCTGCCAACAGTGGCTCCTGTCTTGGTGAGTTCTACCTATAGGGGATAATAACTCTAACTGTATCACAACACAAACAGTGGCAGTGTACCTAGAGGAATGACTTGTCTGCATACTTCCTGAATGAATATTCATCATCACAACATCGAACTCAAGGACCAGGTGACAATGTAGGTTGTTAAGGGACAGGGCAGTCTTACGGGAAAGGTTGGTAGGTTGGAGGGTGCCTCTCAACTGCCTTTTAACTGTCATTCTAAAGAGCTTACTGCGATAATCATTTTATTCATCGTCAGTACTATCTCCCTACTCCGTCCTCTCCCTCCTCTATTCTCTCCATTTGGCCTGGACTTGTACAGAGGGAAAACTCTACTAAACCCAACCTTGAGGGTCCCCATGCTGCTACAGAGAAAACATACCCTCCAGACGACCTCTATGTAGAGATGGCTAATGTGATGACAGGTTGCAGTGTCTACCATTTCTAGTGGTACTCTGTAGCTTAGTGGTAGAGCACGGCGCTGTAACGCCAAGGTAGTGGGTTCGATTCCCCGGGACCACCCATACACAAAAAATGTATGACGCCCATGACTGTAACCGTCGCTTTGATAAAGCGTTGCTAAAATGGCAACTTATTATTATTATATTACCACATGACCAGGATATACGTACATGAGAAGGGCTACCAAGAAAAACTTCCAAATGGATTAATTAGAGGGGAGAAAGGTCTGGAGCACTCAACAAAAAAAACGCCAGAGATTTAATTTATTTTAGCTCAACTAACCATGTACAGGATTGCAGACAGGTGACTGAGGTTTGACATCAAGCTGATGTCTTTCAAAGGACTTCCCTGACCATGACTTAGCTCCAATGTATAGCCTAAGTGGCCCATTGAGACCACAAGGTGAAGAAAATTAATAAGATATGTTTCAAGTAAATGGCAAATATAACCCAAAATAATACAAATTATAACAGAAAATAGTGTATCTCGTTAGTCAATAGGCCAGTCCAAATATACCTTAGATGTCTTTGGGTGTCTGTGAATATGGAGACACAGAGGACCCCAAAAAATCAAGGCAAACAACAGAAAGAAACGATGACAGTGAAAAATCATTGTTTAAGACCCTTAGGATCCAAAGTGTCTAGGGGTATGCACGTGATTCTCTTGTTTTAGTTTACGTACGATGCCACCTCCTCTTGGGAAATGTGGATGTGTTTATTGGCTTACAAAGCCCAGGGAGGAGATGGGCCATGGTGGCATCTATGCAGTGGCGAGCAATAGCAAGTCCGTGTTGTTATTACGAATAGCAGCCGGTTTAGAATGGCAATGCAGTGTTTAGGAAACTATAATCATCTGGGTATTTCTGATAAGAGGAGAACAAAAGAATTTCAAAAAGCGTCCTCTGTTCTCACCTACAGCAGGCTGATTAGAACATTTGAGTTTCCTAAACTGGCCCACACTACTCCTAACAAGAAGCTATCTCATAATGTTAAAACAAATGCTTTGAAGGAATGAAGACAATCCAGATATGTGGATAAAAATGCGATAAGGGAGGGTTATTGTGATATTAAGCAGGGAACAATATGATAGTGAGGTCTATGATCAACTCTGCCACTAAGTACATTTACGTTATTTAGCAGGATCTTTATTAGAGCGAATTACAGTAGTGAGTGCATAACATTTTCCTACTTTTACCACCGCCGTACTAAGAATGTTATGTCCCTCTCCGTTCCAACCCCACAGACAGAATAAAAGGATATACACTGCTCCAAAAAAATAAGGGAACACTAAACAACACATCCTAGATTCTGACTGAATGGAAATAATATTATTAAATACTTTTTTCTTTGACATAGTTGTGAATGTGCTGACAACAAAAATAACACAAAAAATGATCAAGGAAATCAACATGTATCAACCCATGGAGGTCTGGATTTGGAGTCACTAAATTAAAGTGGAAAACCACACTACCGGCTGATCCAACTTTGATGTAATTGTCCTTAAAAAAGTTCAAACTGAGGCCTCAGTAGGGTGTGTGGCCTCCACGTGCCTGTATGACCTCCCTACAACGCCTGGGCATGCTCCTGATGAGGTGGCGGATGGTCTCCTGAGGGACTCCTCCCAGACCTGGACTAAAGCATCCGCCCATTCTGGACACCGGCTGGGTGATGCTGCAAAGTGGACGTTTGGTGGATGGAGCGAGGAACATGATGTCCCAGATGGGCTCAATTGGATTCAGGGTCTGGGGAACGGGCGGGCCAGTCCATAGCATCAATGCCTCCTCTTGCAGGAACTTGCTGACACCCACTCCAGCCAATGACGGTCTTATAGCATTGTCTTGCATTAGGAGGGAACCCAGGGCCAACCGCCAACAGGCATATGGTCTCACAAGGGGTCTGAGGATCTCATTCGGTACCTTAATGGCAGTAGGTCCTCTGGCGAGCACATGGAGGCTTGTGCGGCCCCCCAAAGAAATGACACCCCACACATGACTGAACCCACAGCCAAACGGTCATGATGGAGGATGTTCAGGCAGCAGAACGTTATCCACGGCGTCTCCAGACTCTGTCACGTCTGTAACATGCTGCCTCAGTGTGAACTGCTGTCATCTGGAAGAGACAGGGCGCCAGTGGCGAATTTGGCCAATCTTGGTGTTATTCTGGCAAATGCAAAGTCCTGCCCGGTGTTGGGCTGTAAAGCACCACACCCCCACTGTGGATGCCCGGGCCCTCATACCCACCTCATGGAGTATGTTTTGACATTTGAGCAGACACATGCACATTGTGGACTGCTGGAGGTCTTTTGCAGGGCTCTGGCAGTGCTCCTCCTGCTCTCCTGCACAAAGGCGGAGGTAGACGGCCTTGCTGCGGGTGTTGCCCTCCTACGGACTCCTATACGTATATGATGTATGGGGCCTCCTGTCTACTGGGTAGCGCCTCCATGCTCTGGACACTACGATGACAGACACAGCAAACCTTCTTGCCACAGCTCGCATTGATGTGCCATCCTGGATGAGCTGCACTACCTGAGACACTTGTGTGGGTGTAGACTCGTCTCATGCTAACACTAGAGTGAAAGAACCGCCAGCATTCAAAAAGTGACCAAAACATCAGCCAGGAAGCATAGGAACTGAGCGAAGTGGTCTGTGCAACACCTGCAGAACCACTTCTTTATCGGGGGTTTGTATTGCTAATTGCCTATAAATTCCACCTGTGTCTATTCATTTGCCCAACAGCATGGGAAATGTATGTCAATCAGTGTTGCTTCCTAAGGGGAACAGTTTGATTCACAGAAGAAGTGTGAATGACTTGGAGTACATTGTGTGTTTAAGTGTTCCCTTTTATTTTTTTGAGCAGTGTAGATAGCGCTTGATAACGCTCTTTCAGAGGATTGGATCGGCAAAGAGAGAAAGGATTTTCATTTACGGTCACACCCAGCATGTCCAGTTTTTATGGCTTACCGAAAATTACACAAACGTATGGAAAAACTCCTTTACGTCCCAAGGTCAGGCAACAGTCACCTATTGAACCCCTATCTCATAGGTTTTTCTTATCCTAAAATTTGTGCCAGCATTGGCAGCCTTTTTAGGAGATACCAGGGTGGCTTAAGATAATCAATAGATGCGACACCGAAAGCCGATTGTTTACAGTTGACGTTCAGTCCTCCGTAGGCCTCTATGAGCGCTCTCTCGCTATCTCAACACTAGACTGGAGGGTAATCTTACCTCCATCTAACTTATTCTTGTCTATCCACTGAAAAGCCCTCACAGCAAATTACTTTCCAAATATGCAGGCAGTAGGTAGTTTCTACAAACAGATTCGGGGTTACAGCGATGGGAGCATACGGCGGTGTGTCATAAGGTAGGGCAAGCTTTCCCTAAAGAACATTTAATTTAATTTCCCAAAATTTATAGCCTAATAGTAGCCTACTCATGTCTATCAGAAATTAAATAAATCATTCAAAGAGGCTTACCTAAAGATGATTGGCACAACGGATCATGAGCATTGCTTGCAGTCGGAATGCAGTCGGAAGGAAAGGCTGCGTGCGCCAAATCATGATAGTTGACTTGTTGCGACTGTCAGTAGAGCCTACAGCCAAGCCAGGCATATCGTATTATTTCAAAAACAATCGCGGGAAGAACATGTTGAGAAAACAAATGGTTAGTCCGTAAAGATATGTTGTACCATTGTGACAAAACACGACCACTACAAACGTTTTTTACCACCCCAGAAAAAGTAAAGAATACAAATCCAAAGCTTCCTTAATTGTATAACACACAAATGGTCCTATACTATGCTCAAAATGCATCTGCAGGGTGCTTATGTTGGTCAAACATAAACAGAATTGAAATGCATAATTGGCAAGAATAACGATTCGATCAGACGACAGTACCATGGCATCAAAATTGTTTACTGGACATATGTGAAAACAAAAGTTCAAACATTCACATGTTGCTACTATTTCTGTCAAGTCTAGCATGACATTTCATGAATAATGGGATAAATCCAACAGATGCACCACACAGAAACGCACTGCAACTCCTCTGACGACGCAAGTGGCAAGACAAGACAAACGCAGGTTACATTGAAAGATGAATGTATTCAAGTTGTATCAAAAAGCAAATAATACTGTCGGTCAGATCGCGGTGTAATGTTTGATAACACCGATAGTGTTATTGCCGGCAAAATAGAAGCAGCATTCATCTGGATATGTGTTGCAACAAAAGGTCACCTTATGCTGCATTATGTAAGCCGTCTACGCATACCAGTTTGACGCATAATTCGGATATCCAAGGTATTGCCAAAAACAGAACACTTCAAATTCACCAAGATGGAACGGTGGTGACCATCATATGTAAACTAAAACAGAGGCATTCTGGCAGTACTCCTTAGACACTGTGGATCCTAAGGGGCTAAGATGGTTTTTCACTGTCATCGTTTCTCTAATGTTGTTGCCTTGATTTTTTGGGGTCTCTTTTTCTCCAAATTCACAGACACCAAATATCATCTATGTATATTTTGACATGGCTATTGATTAACGAGACATTATTTTCTTATTATTAGTATTTTGTGCTATTTAATTTGCCATTTACCTTGAAACATATCAGAATTATTATTTTCTTACATTGTTGTGTCTCAATGGGACTATAAATAGGACCTAAGTACAATAGTCAGTCACTCTGAGGAAGACCTCAGCTTGACATCGGAATTTCAGTCACTTGTTCCATCCTGTACAATGGACTAAGGTGAGCTAAAATAAATACATATTTTTTTGTTGAGTGCTCCAACTCCTTTCTACCACAAATTAGTCTTTTGGGAAGTTTTTCTTGGTAAGCCCTTCTCATGATGTTGTCATTGTTGTTGAGCACCCCTCCTGTCCTTTGTTTGCTGAAGCGAAGGCCCACCTGAACTCTAAGCTACAGTACATGTATAGGTTGCATAGCGGTTGTGTAGAAGTTGAGTAAAGATTTGGCAGTGGTTGAATATAGACCACTAGGTTTATGTAGAGGGTGTGTGACGTTTGTGTGGTGATTTAGTAGTGATTGGGTTAGGTTGAATGCAGGTTGTATAAATATTGTGTTTTGGTTGTGTAGTAGTTGTATATAGGTTTGTGGAGGTTCTTCTAGATTTCTTGCATGTGTACCCGCAGTTGTTGCAGTTGAAGTGGTCGGGGTGGTAGGGGTCGTTCTTGAACAGCAGCGGCTGCTCCTCGATGATGGCGTGGCACTTCTGACAGATGTACTTCCCCAGACCACGGGCTTTCTCACGGTTATGACACGGGCGACACAAGTGTCTGAGGGAGAGAGATACATGTTAGTAAAGAGAGCTCAGCCTGACCCAGAGGCTGGAAATAATGTTGCTACATTAAAATTACGGGAGGGTGTTAACAGTGTGTGGGATTTCTCTTGCTTTATAAAAGCTATGCAGCGGAAAAAGTTGCTGTCCCCTATCCCATGGTGTTAAATCAGCAATGGCTGATCAGTGATCCAGTCCAGGTCTCTGGACTGACCTGCCGGCGTTCTTGACGAAGCCCACGTCAGCAAGCACAGCCTGGCAGAGGTCACAGCAGAAACAGTCAGGGTGCCAGCTGTTGTTCATCGCCTTGATCACACGACCAATGATAAACTCCCCTGGGGAGGAGGAGGAGGTGGTCAGGGACAACACACTGGCAACAATATAACATCCCCCGTGAACACACATATCCACCTGTTAATATAGAGAGAAATAACTAAAGAAAAAACTCTTGGCCCATGAAAGCAATTGGCGATAGAAGTCTACACAGTTGTGCCTAGGGCTCAAAGTGAGGGAAGCAGGGTTAAAGGAGCCCAAATATGGACCTTAAGCTTCAGACAACACCACCAGTGTTGATAATGCTGCTGGTAGGTGCAGTTGCTGTACTCACCACACTGGTGGCAGCAGGGAGCAAACAGCATCTGGAAGTTCATGCTCGCAGTACTTCCTGCCCTCAAACTGCAGAAGAAGTGAACAAGCATCAGAACCAGTCAATGATTAGAACATACAGTAGCCATAGATAGACCTGTACGTCTACAGATCTGTCTGTGGCTATGATCTCCCTTTCAGGAAGAGCTCTGGGTTCCCTATGGTCAGCTGGAGCAGTGTCTGGCCTCCTGTCTGTTCTGCTGGCCCCTAAAAAGCCAGACAAACAGAGACAGAGGCGAGACCGAAGAGGGGGATAACTCAGAGACAACCCACTGGGTACAGACGTCTAGTTTTGATTTACATTTGGTTGAGTTGTCAACTACTTGAAACTCAACGTGAAATCAACAAAAAAATTGACCTTGTCATTGGATTTAGATTGAATGTTGAGTGCACATTTTTTTTTTATGACTTTTGAAAATCAAATCAGTTTTCTACGTTGATTCAACGCCATCAAATGTTTTCGTTTGCTGTTGAAATGACGTGGAAACAACGTTGATTCAACCAGTTTTTGCCCAGTGGGGAGCTTCTAATGGGCCAGTAATGCATTAGGCTGAGTGCTGTGAGGTTAGGAGTCGATCCAGTTAATACACTTTACCCAATATGGAATTTGTGACAGGAGGTGAAGGTTGTTTCAACCCTTCTTATCTTCTTATATTGCCACACGTACCAAATATTTTGTTGATGTTTTCAGCATGAGGGCCATGTATGCAAAAGTTGTAATAAATCTCCCTTAAAGCTGGAATCTGCATTCGGTTGAAAGAGTGCCACTGGTCGCCCCAGGTGCACTTGTTATTGTTTTGTTTTATGAAAGGAGGAGAGGAGCATCTAACAACTTGGTTTAAAAAAAAGTAGTATAGTCTGCTGTTCTATCGCACGTTGCAATGATGTACAATGATTGTCAGAGGGAAAAAAAAAAAAACTGTTTGTTTGAAGTAACGTCTTTGTTGTTGTAATATCACAAATGGGACGTGGCAGTTCCACCGCTACGGATTCCAGGAGGCTACACAATAAATGTCTCTAGGATAAGGGACTTGGGTTTATTCAGGCTAGACAGTGTTGTATAGGATGAGATGGGTGAGAGGGAGATGGATAATAAGGCTGCGTTTACACAGGCAGCACAATTCTGATCCTTTGCACAATTATGGGCTAAAGATCTGATTGGTCAAAAGACCAATCAGTAAAGAAAACATATCAGAAACACAGACTACGAAATGTTCCTTCTAATTTGTTGGGGCCACTGAGCGGGAAACTTGAACGTTGTGAGAATTTTGTGCAACTTCCAGCATGTTTACAGTGAACACTGAGGCTGTACCCTTACAGTTTTAGAAAGTAGCCAATAGGCTATTGTGGCTATTTCAGCATAATGTAGGCCTACCAACAAAACCAATGGAGCAAATCCCATAAAATGTTCACATGGGAAATAGCTTTTGATTTATATGATATAGCCTACAGTAGCCTATATGTTGTGTTCAATGCAGGCCTACATTGCATGAGACTTTTAAAAACGTTTTTACATTATGAAGGGCTTGTCATTAATGATTTTTTACTTGGCCTGTAACACCATGGGCCAAATAGGTGACTGTAAATTGCATTGATAGGTGACTCAAAGACAGATTGAAATGTAGCCTAAGCCTACATGTTTTGTGCTCTTATAGGGTGTAGTAACTCCCCATTGCTGACCTATACTTATCTATAACTGGGCTAATAACTCGCTAACTAGCAAAGAATATCAACAAATATGCACACGCTCTGATCTGAACTGATCTGAAAAGCGCATTCACTCACGGGTGATTGAAAGGACCGCTCGTGGGCTACCCCCACCAGTGGCGACCCGTCATCCGTTTTGAACCCCACCTGTTTTTTGTTGTTGTTGCCTGTTTTGCATGTTATTTTGGCATGTAAAAAAAATCATTGGGTTAATAAAGCCGCATACAAACATGGTCTCTTTTTTGGTTTCTTGAGTAAGGCAGCTCCAAAATGCAGGTGTTTCAGCCTAGCTCAGTGCTTTCTGTGGCGGTGGGGCAGCCAGCGGAAAATACGGAGCGTAGTGGTTGGTAATGTTCTCTAGTTGCGCCGTGATTGGCTCAATGTCACTCATGGGGGACACTACGTCACCGCAAAATCTACGGGGGAGAGCTCGAAAATTCAAGCCCCTTGGGTGCTGCCATAGATTTACATTAGAAGTGCCCATCCAAGAAGGCTCAAGGTCATTGGCCACAGATAAATTAACGTCAAATCACGTTATATCTACGGTTAGCTTTGATTGGACTGATCATGTCAACATCATACTTTCATCTTTAGCTAGCAAGCAGTCATCATCATCAAGTCGACAATCTACTGGCAAATCGTTTTCAACCCTTGTCATATGAAGAGAAATTATAAATAAAACGTATTGGACATTAACAATGAGTGGTTTGGAAGGAATCAGTGGCTAACTGCAAGCTTTGCAAAGCAATCACTAGCCTGCTATTCAGTGGAGAGGGTGTGGGTTTTAAGGGTCTCTTTTCCAAGCTTAAAAGGATAAACATTCACTCGCAACACACCATGGGCCAAAAAAGGTTGAATACATTGGCCATGCTGTCAATCCAGCATGACTTCTGCCGCGTTCAAAACAACTGGAAAATCTCAGACTTCAGTGAGTTCAAGACAACTGGGAACAAGCTCCGACTGGGAAAATACATTTTGAACAGTCATCCAACTTGGATATCCAAGTCGGGAACTCTGGCCTCTTTCTAGAGCTCCGACCTGAAGATCACTGACGTCAGGATTCGACCTTGTTTTTGTCAGAGTTCCCAGTTGTCTTGAAAGCACCATAAATCCAGAGAATACCAGACTTTGATGACAAAGTTTGATGACAAAATTTGCCCACAAGAAGGACCACCGCCACACCTTCCTGTTCAAGTGAGCACAGAACAACAAGGTGAGTCCAAAAATGTATTGTATGCTGCTGCATAAATGATGTAATATGCCAGGGAGATATGTATACTGTAGCTAAGAAAGTAATACTAAGTGTATGTTGTGTAGTTAGCTGTTAGTAGCCCATGTGCCTCACCCTAATAATTTCCCCCTCACAACTTAGCCTACTGTTCTGACTTGGTGGTGCACATGTAGCCTATAGCCTGTTTTAGAGAAATGTAATCATCTAATATTGTAAGAGCTTTCATTATCTGCTTATATGCCCCCTTTACTTATCCTACGGTTCTGACTTGGTGTACATGGAGAACACTATAAGAATGGCCCATGTTCTGAATTCTGTCGCTGAACATTTCAAAAGTGCTGAACAAATAGTTATATTGACAATGTCCATCTTAGCTCGCTCATTAATGTCTGAATGGAAATTACGGATTGCCTCTTATCCGCTCGTTGTTCCCTTATGCCATAGTTTGTACATCTCAATTGTCAGTAGAAACCACATTTGTTTAAGCAAGTCAGCCATATCAGCTATGTTTTTTAAAAAGGCAGTAAATGAGGCTGAATGGAACAGTTTCGCTGCCAGATAAGGCTCCGCTGATAGCCAGGTGTAGCAGTGGTAAGGATTTACTCCATGGTGCTGAAAAGAAAGCTCTGCTGTTGGGACAGCTTTATGTAGGCCCTAACAGTTTGTGGGCACCGTTTGTCACCGTTATAGTGCAATTAATGTATTGCTTAGTGTTGCGTTGTGTTGTGTAGTGGCTTTGCTGGCATGCTTACAAAAAAAGTGTGTTGAGTTTGCCCCACCAAGATTTACATGCTAAAATCGCCACTGACCCCCGCCAATAGAATTCTACTCCACTGCGCTCTGGCTCTGCCTACAACAAAATCACAGACTCAATCTTGCAAAGTTAGATTTGTTTTGGTTTGTTGCATTGAAAAGGGGTTGATATAATGTTGATTAGATCACAGAAAAAAATGTTGATCTATATAGTGTGAACTCAGTGAAGTTCAATCTCTTGCGTCCCTGCGCGGCCTAGCAATTCTTCTGCGCGGGCAGTCCTGAGGGTCTGATGGTAGAGAGGGATAGAGGAGAGAGGGTCTGATGGTAGAGAAGAGAGAGGGTCTGATGGTAGAGAGGGAGGAGAGAGGGAGAAAGAGAGAAGGTCTGATGGTAGAGAGGGAGAGAGGAGAGAAGGGTCTGATGGGAGAGCGGGGAGAGAGGAGGAGAGAGGTCTGATGGGAGAGAGGAGGAGAGAGGGTCTGATGGTAGAGAGGGAGAGAGGGAGAGAAGAGAGAAGGGTCTGATGGTAGAGAGGGAGAGAGGAGAGAAGGGTCTGATGGGAGAGAGGGAGAGAGGAGAGAAGGTCTGAGGGGAGAGAGGAGAGAGGGTCTGATGGTAGAGAGGGAGAGAGGAGAGGTCTGATGGTAGAGAGGGAGAGAGGAGAGAGGGTCTGATGGTAGAGAGGGAGAGAGGAGAGAGGGTCTGATGGTAGAGAGGGAGAGAGGAGAGAGGGTCTGATGGTAGAGAGGGAGAGAGAAGAGAGGGTCTGATGGTAGAGAGGTAGAGAGGAGAGTGGGTCTGATGGTAGAGAGGGAGAGAGGAGAGAAGGTCTGATGGTAGAGAGGGAGAGAGGAGAGATGGTCTGATGGTAGAGAGGGAGAGAGGAGAGAGGGTCTGATGGTAGAGAGGGAGAGAGGAGACAGGGTCTGATGGTAGAGAGGGAGAGAGGAGACAGGGTCTGATGGTAGAGAGGAGAGAAGGTCTCATGGTGGAACACACTAAACAAACAATAACATGAAGAGCTATCTAACCAAAATGGGGAAGAATGGATAAACCACTTCTCCAACCTTTTTGGACATACAGTGGGGTGAACAAGTATTTGATACACTGCCGATCTTGCAGGTTTTCCTACTTACAAAGCGTGTAGAGGTCTGTAATTTTTTTATCATAGGTACAATTCAACTGTGAGAGACGGAATCTAAAACAAAAATCCAGAAAATCACATTGTATGATTTTTAAATAATTAATTTGCATTTTATTGCATGACATAAGTATTTGATCACCTACCAACCAGTAAGAATTCCAGCTCTCACAGACCTGTTAGTTTTTCTTTAAGAAGCCCTCCTGTTCTCCACTCATTACCTGTATTAACTGCACATGTTTGAACTCGTTACCTGTATAAAAGACACCTGTCCACACACTCAATCAAACAGACTCCAACCTCTCCACAATGGCCAAGACCAGAGAGCTGTGTAAGGACATCAGGGATAATATTGTAGACCTGCACAAAGCTGGGATGGGCTACAGGACAATAGGCAAGCAGCTTGGTGAGAAGGCAACAACTGTTGGCGCAATTATTAGAAAATGGAAGAAGTTCAAGATGACGGTCAATCATCCTCGGTCTGGGGCTCCATGCAAGATCTCACCTCGTGGGGCATCAATGATCATGAGGAAGGTGAGGGATCAGCCCAGAACTACACGGCAGGACATGGTCAATGACCTGAAGAGAGCTGGGACCACAGTCTCAAAGAAAACCATTAGTAACACACTACGCCGTCATGGATTAAAATCCTGCAGCGCACGCAAGGTCCCCCTGCTCAAGCCGGCGCATGTCCAGGCCCGTCTGAAGTTTGCCAATGACCATCTAGATGATCCAGAGGAGGAATGGGAGAAGGTCATGATGAGACAAAAATAGAGCTTTTTCGTCTAAACTCCACTCGCTGTGTTTGGAGGAAGAAGAAGGACGAGTACAACCCCAAGAACACCATCCCAACTGTGAAGCATGGAGGTGGAAACATCATTCTTTGGGGATGCTTTTCTGCAAAGGGGACAGGACGACTGCACCGTATTGAGGGGAGGATGGATGGGGCCATGTATTGCGAGATCTTGGCCAACAACCTCCTTCCTTCAGTAAGAGCATTGAAGATGGGTTGTGGCTGGGTCTTCCAGCATGACAACGACCCGAAACACACAGCAAGGGCAACTAAGGAGTGGCTCCGTAAGAAGCATCTCAAGGTCCTGGAGTGGCCTAGCCAGTCTCCAGACCTGAACCCAATAGAAAATCTTTGGAGGGAGCTGAAAGTCCGTATTGCCCAGCGACAGCCCCAAAACCTGAAGGATCTGGAGAAGGTCTGTATGGAGGAGTGGGCCAAAATCCCTGCTGCAGTGTGTGCAAACCTGGTCAAGACCTACAGGAAACGTATGATCTCTGTAATTGCAAACAAAGGTTTCTGTACCAAATATTAAGTTCTGCTTTTCTGATGTATCAAATACTTATGTCATGCAATAAAATGCAAATGAATTACTTAAAAATCATACAATGTGATTTTCTGGATTTTTGTTTTATATTCCGTCTCTCACAGTTGAAGTGTGCCTATGATAAAAATTACAGACCTCTACATGCTTTGTAAGTAGGAAAACCTGCAAAATCGGCAGTGTATCAAATACTTGTTCTCCCCACTGTATATAAAAAAAACAAGAGCAAAAACATATACATGGTAATTTACAAAACGTAGAATCAGCTACTAAACACTATCAGAACCCACAGCATTCTCAAATTACATTGGATGAGCTACAGGACAAAATACAAACCCTCCAACCCAAAAAGGCCTGTGGTGTTGATGGTATACTAAACAAAATGATAAAATATACAGACCACAAATTCAAATGGGCTATTCTTAAACTCTTCAACTTTATCCTCATCTCTGGCATCTTCCCTAATATTTGGAACCAAGGCCTGATCATCCCAATCCACAAAAGTGGAGACAAATTTGACCCCAATAATTACCTTGCATCTGCAGCAATCTCTGAAAAATCCTCTGCAGCATCATCAACAGCAGACTCCAACATTTTCTCAGTGAAAATAATGTCCTGAGCAAATGTCAAATTGGCTTCTTACCAAAATAACGTTCAACAGACCACGTATACACCCTGCACACCATTATTGACAAACAAAACAAAAGCAACGTTTTCTCATGCTTTGTTGATTTCAAAAAAGCTTTTGACTCAACTTGTAGCCAAGACAACAAATACACATTCTATCTAGACACTGTTGCTCTAGAGCACAAAATAATTACACCTACCTAAACATCAACACCACAGGTAATGTCCACAAGGCTGTGAACGATCTAAGAGACAAGGAAAGAAGGGCCTTCTATGCCATCAAAAGGAACATAAAACTCAACATCCCAATTAGGATCTGGTAAAGAATAATTCAATCAGTTATCGAACCCATTGCCCTCGATGGTTGTGAGGTCTGGGGTCCACTCAAGAATTGTACTGCAAAAATATACTTTGTGTACAACGCAAAACCCCAAACAATGCATGCAGAGCAGAATTAGGACTACACCCGCTAGTTATCAACATCCAGAAAAGAGCTGTTAAATTCTACAACCACCTAAAAGGAAGCGATGCCCACACATTCCACCATAAAGCCCTCACCTACAGAGAGATTAACCTAGAGACGAGTCCCCACAGCCAGCTGGTTATGGGGCTCTGTTCACAAACACAAACAGACCCCACAGAGCCCCAGGACAGAAACACATTTAGACCCAACCATATTATGAGAAAGCAAAAACATAACTATTTGACACACTGGAAAGAATCAACCAAAAAACAGAGAAAATTGGAACGATATCTGGCCCTAAAAAGAGAGTACACAGTGGCCTGACCCTAAATTAAGAAAATCCTTGACTATGTACAGACTCACTGAGCATAGCCTTGCTATTGAGAGAGGCCGCCATAGGCAGACCTATGTGCCCACTGCCCACAAAATGAGGTGGAAACTGAGCTACACTTCCTAACCTCCTGACAAATGTATGACCATATTAGAGACAAATATTTCCCACAGATCACACAGACCCACAAAGAATTTGAAAACAAATCAAAGTGAACATCACCTCGTAGAAGAGACCCTCAGGGAACTGTTGGAAGCACTGAGCACAAACGAAGCACCCCTCATGGTACAGCTCCCCGTTACTGTTGACGATCTTCTCCGCTGGGGCAAAGCCACTTTTACAGCGCTCACACATCGCATTGGCCAGGGCATTGGCCATGTTGCTGATAGGAGAGAGAGTGGAGAGAAGGAAGACGAGAGAGTTTACATTAGTATTATTTTTCTTTTTTCTAAGAAGGGAAAGAATAGGTCATAGAGTAAGTAACGTCACAATGAACACAGTGTAGAACCCTATTGGCAAGGTTTTATCAGTAGACACACCACGGCTGAAGCACATTCATCACCCATCGTACAGAAATTATAGTTTCCCTCTGACACAACACACCCAGCTGGAGGATGTATTCAGGGTTTGGAGATCAGGGTGGGGAAATGAGTGAGGAGAGCTGACACATTCCCTCATACACATATACAGTTGAAGTCGGAAGTTTACATACACTTAGGTTGGAGTCATTAAAACTCGTTTTTCAACCACTCCATGTTATGTGGGCAGCTTGTCTCTCCCTTTTCTGTTTCCCTTCCTCCTTGTTTTGTCCCCTCTTTTTCTGTTGTATCTGTATGTGTGTTTGTCCCCTTTATGTGGGTGTGTCTGGAGTGGAGCAGGGGGCGTGCTCAGGATCTGCCTCTCCTGTGCAGCTGCGGGTTGTTTCCAGTGATTCCTGCCTACGCAGCTGCATCCTATTCTCTCATCAACCTGCACTACTTATTCCTGGGCATGGCTCTCCACCGGCGCCAGATCGTTGTTCTTACCAGAGCGGTAACTTGGCTCACCAGTAAAGTTATTTTGTCTTTGTCTTCAGCCTGGCTCTCCACACTCCTTAACCTGTCGTTGTTTTGTCTTTAGTTTCGGACATACCTCCCAACCTGCCTGCCTTCCTGCCTGTCGGTCTGCCTGCCTGCCTGCCTGCCTGCCTGCCTCAGCCTCTCCTTCCTCCGGAGCCGACTAGCCCACTCTGTTCCTTTACTTCAGTTGTTTTTGGACTAAGACAATTTTAACTTTTATTAAATCTTTTTGTTTCTTCCACTCCCTTTGTCGTGTTTGTTTCTCTGAGTGCTGGGTTGAACCATAGCCTAACAGAACGATCTGGCCATGGACCCAACAGAGAAACAGCACGGGGCAAACAAAGACAGCTTCCAACAAGCTATCCAGGCTCAAGGAACGTTGCTAGGACAGCATGACCAGTTGATTCGGACTCTTGTGGAAGATAATCATCAACTGCTGAACCAGGTGACTCAGTTAACTACACACGTCTCTAAATTGTCTGTTATCAGTTCTCCATCTCTCTCTGACCCCCAGTTTGATGCACCCCAAGTTGTTTCCTCGGACACTAGGCAGGCTTCGTTCCGTCGGGAACCCCCTGTCACGTCGCCTGAACCGTTCAATGGAGAATTGGACAAGTGCCGGGGATTTTTGCTTCAGTGTGACTTGATTTTTCGGCAGAGACCACTGTCGTTTTCTACTGATTCATCTAAGGTACATTATGTTCTGGGGCTGTTAAGAGGGAAAGCTCTGGTTTGGGCTGAGGCTGTGTGCTCAGATCAAACTTTGACTGGATTGACTTTTGCTGATTTCTCTGCTAAATTGAAGACTGTTTTTGACCATCCTGACCATGTGGGTAATTCCTCCAAGATACTTTTTAATTTGAGGCAGGGTTCTAACAGTGTGGCAGAGTACTCTATTGAGTTCTGGACGTTGGCAGCGGACTCCAAGTGGAACAATGTGGCACTTCAAGGAGCATTTCTAAACGGTTTGAATGAAGCCATTAAGGATGAACTGGCTGCTCGTGATGAGCCACATGATTTACATTCTCTCGTTTCCCTGTCCATCAAGCTAGACAATCGGTTGCGGGAGAGGCGTCGGGAGAGAGGCGATCGGCCACATCTAGGAGGACGAGTTCCCCAGCCTTCAACCACTCGAGTCTCGCCTCTCCGGAGTCGGCAGCTTCTTGTTCCTGATTCCATCCCGAGCACAGAGGAGGAACCTATGCAAGTGGGTCGAGCTCGACTACCTCCAGCTGAGCGGCAACGGCGCCTCCAGGCGGGTGAGTGCCTGTACTGTGGAGACGCCACACACATTCTGGCTACATGCCCTAAGCGGCCAAAAGACAAGGCTCGCTCGTAACGGTGGGTCTACTTGCGAGCCCAGAGTTAGATCCTGAACCCATCATTCCCCGATTACAAGTACCTGTAACCTTACGTTTCCAGAGTCATTCCCTGCCACTCTCAGCTCTCATAGACTCAGGTGCAGAAGATAACTTTATTAGCCACCAGTTCGTTACACAAGCTCGTATCCCCATGGAGCCACTACCTACCCCCATTCGGGTCACAGCCCTTGATGGGCGCCTCCTCGCGGAGATAACTCATCAAACCACCCCCGTTTCCCTAGTGATTTCTGGCAATCATTGTGAAAGCATTCAGCTAAGAGTTATGTCTGGCTCAGCTACCTCCCTTATCCTTGGCTTCCCCTGGTTGGCTCTTCACAACCCACAAATTGATTGGACACGTCACACCATTCTCAGTTGGAGCACTAACTGCCATTCCGAGTGCCTGAGGTCAGCGGTTCCCCCCACTAAGTGTAACCCAACTCCTCCCTCAGCTCCTCTTGATCTGTCATCTGTCCCCAAAGAATACCATGACTTAGCGGAGGTTTTCAGTAAGGACAAGGCTCTGTCTCTACCACCACATAGGCCTTATGATTGCCCTATTGAACTGCTTCCTGGTGCTCCCTTGCCCTCTAGTCGGTTATACAATCTGTCCCGACCGGAAAGAGAGGCAATGGAGCAGTACATTGGTGATTCTCTGGTCTCGGGCATAATCCGTCCCTCGTCGTCTCCTTTGGGTGCAGGTTTCTTTTTCGTGGAAAAGAAGGACAAGTCGTTACGCCCCTGTATCGATTTCAGGGGTTTAAACAACATAACTGTTAAAAACAAGTATCCCCTTCCACTCATCAACTCAGCTTTTTGAACCTCTGCATGGCGCCACAGTGTTTTCCAAGCTCGACCTCAGGAATGCTTATCACCTTGTCCGAATCCGAAAGGGAGATGAGTGGAAAACCGCTTTCAACACTCCACTGGGACATTTTGAGTATTTGGTCATGCCCTTTGGGCTTTCAAATGCCCCTGCGGTTTTCCAAGCCATGGTGAACGATGTTCTTAGGGATTTTTTTGAACCGTTTTGTCTTTGTATACCTGGATGATATTCTTGTTTTTTCCAAGTCACCCGAGGAGCATGAGTCACACGTCCGTCAAGTCCTTCAACGGCTCTTGGAGAACAAGCTGTACGTCAAAGCAGAGAAGTGTGAGTTCCACAACAGTCTACATCGTTCCTTGGATTCATAATTGAGAGCGGGCAGGTGAAGGCGGACCCCGAGAAGATCCGGGCAGTGACGGAATGGCCCACACCCACCACCCGTAAGCAACTTCAACGATTTTTGGGCTTTGCTAACTTCTACCGTAGATTCATTAAGGGTTTTTAGTAGAGTGGTGGCACCCCTTACAAGACTCACATCTCCTAAAGTCCCTTTTCGGTGGTCCCCTGAGGCGGAGCAGGCGGTAGGGGTTTTGAAGGAACTGTTTTCCACCTCCCCCGTGTTGATACACCCCAATACCTCTCTGCAGTTTGTTGTGGAGGTGGACGCGTCGGACTCAGGTGTGGGAGCAGTCCTCTCCCAGCGCTCCCCCACTGACCAAAGGCTTCACCCCTGTGCTTTTTTCTCCAAGAAATTGTCACCCACAGAACGGAATTACGACGTTGGAAACCGGGAACTGCTGGCGGTCAAGCTTGCACTGGAAGAATGGCGGCACTGGCTGGATGGAGCTGAACTGCCGTTTGTGGTCTGGACTGACCACAAAAACTTGGCTTACATCCAAGCCACTAAGAGACTCAACTCACGCCAAGCCAGATGGGCCCTGTTTTTTAGTAGGTTTAACTTTATTCTTACATACAGACCGGGGTCAAGAAATGTTAAACCAGATGCTTGTCCCGCCAGTTTGCTGACCCTTCGGAGACCAGCGAGCCTGAGGCAGTCCTGCCTTCCTCATGCGTCGTGGCGGCTGTTCAGTGGGAGATCGAGTCTCTTGTGAAGACTGCACTTGCCACGGACCCGGGACCGGGTGATGGACCTCCCAACCTACTCTTTGTTCCCGAGACGGTCCGGTCTCAGGTGTTGCAGTGGATTCACACCTCCCGTTTTGCTGGTCACCCTGGGATGAGACGCACGTTGACGCTGCTTAGGAGACATTTTTGGTGGCCTTCAATGGAAACTGACGTTCGGGCTTTTGTGGGCAGCCTGTTCAACCTGTGCTCGGGGCAAAGCCTCCCATCAGTCCCCTTCGGGGCTGCTGCTACCCCTCCCAGTTCCCAGCCGTCCTGGTCCCACATTGCCATGGATTTTGTCACCGGCCTAACCCAAGTCTGAAGGTAATGATACTATACTACCATTGTGGACAGATTCTCTAAATCTGTCCACTATATAGCATTACCAAAATTACCGTCTGCCAGTGAGACAGCGGACCTCCTAGTCCAACATGTATTCCGTCCCCATGGAATACCTGTGGACATCGTATCTGATAGAGGCCCACAGTTTACTTCCCGTGTTTGGAAGGGTTTCTGTTCTGCTTTGGGTGCTTCCGTTAGTCTGTCCTCAGGGTTTCATCCCCAGACCAACGGTCAAACAGAAAGAGCCAATCAAAACCTCGAAAGCAACCCTTCGTTGTGTGGCATGCTCAACATCCATCATCCTGGGCCAAACATCTGCCCTGGATAGAGTACGCCCACAACTCCCCTCACCGCCTCTGCCACCGGTCTTTCACCCTTCGAGGTTACCATGGGTTATCAACCCCCTCTGTTTCCTGCTCAGGAGAAGGAATTGGCTGTTCCTTCGGTTCAGGAGAACCTCCGCCGCTGCCAGAGAGTGTGGAGCGACGCTCGGGAAGCATTGCTTCGGACCACCGACAGGAACAAGACAACAGCGGATAGGAGCAGGACTCCCGCACCTGTGTTTCATCCTGGTCAAGAGGTTTGGCTGTCATCTAAGAACGTACCTCTTCGTACCAAATCACGCAAGCTGTCTCCTCGGTACCTGGGTCCGTTTGTGGTGGAGTCCAT